ACATGGAACAAGCATGTTCACTCTCTCTCACACACACACACACACACACACACACGCAGGTGTCTGGGGCATATTTTAGATTTTGGCGAATAAAATCAGACATAAATGCACAACAGTGTGAAGGGGTAGACATAACACACCGCACACACACACACACACACGCACACACACACAGAAAGAGAGGGAAAAGGGCAGATAAAAGAAAGATGAAAGGCAGCTAACCTTTTGCACTCTGAGAAAGTTTACTGTTTGATGAAAGAGCTGCAGCAGTATTTTGAAAACATCTCACAGTTAGGGTATAAAAGTGGCTGTCTGGGTCCTGCACTGAGCTCATTCTGTGGCAGCACCATGGCCAAAAGGTACAGTCTTGAGGAGACCCTGGATTTCATACTGGATCAAAGTGACAGTGAAGAAGGCCCAGAGAACACTGAACCAGATAGTCCTGAGGACTTTACTACTGACACAGAAGATGAAACTGAGTTTGAACAGGATTACCAGGAATCTGAAGAGGAGGATTATGCAGTGTTTATTTGTGATAAATAATTTTCTGAAATAAATAGTATGTGATTACAGTCATGTCTTTTAGTGGTGACTTGTAACATTTCTGCAAATTTATGTATAATAATTAGCAAAAGCAAACAATTCAAAATATATCAGACAACAACAAAAATAAATACAAAAATACAGATTTTTAATGTATTTTAGAATGTTGAAATAAATATTCACAAAATATATATCATAAAGTTGTGAGGAGAAGTTGAAACATGAAGAAAAATGGACTTGAAACTGAACTGAAAATGAATGAGTCCCTATGGACCTCTGCTGGATATATGTGGTCATTGCACTTTCTTTCTTTAACTATAATACCTAAAGATTTTCCTCTAACCTGCAGATGGCAGTATTCTATCCCTAACACATGGGCCAATATCCAGAAACCTTTTATATTTAATTTAGGTCATAATTTAAGGGATTTTTTCATAAAAAAATAATTTTTCATAAGCCAATTTATGGCATAGTTGAGTATTTGTGCAGTAAATAGGTAAAAAAGCTACCAAATATCCATAAAAGCACAGCATAAATGTATAGCTGAGAAGTAAATTTAAAAAATGATATATAGTTTGTCATATAAAATATGTATATTTCCTTATGCAATCGCTCTGTAAAAGTTTGGGGTCTATCTGACCCCAAGGGACTTTAACGTTGCTCAAATCAAGGGACGATTAAAGGTTAAATGAAATATGTTTATTTATAATCATTTCTTTCATCTTGTCCACCATCTTTGCTGGACTGTTGTATTTTTACTGAGCACATCACATTCTGGGATTGCCTTGTCTTTGAATACTTGTGATGCACACATGTGAATTTGGCCAAACGTAGGTATCTTAACAGATAATTAAACTGCCTACATTCTGCACCTCACCTAACTTAAAATGACTAAAAATACTATACTGCCCTAGTATCAATGAGCGAGTCACAAGGAAATGGAGACATAGTGGAAATACTTGTGATGCACACATGTGAATTTGGCCAAAAGTAGGTATCTTAAAAGACAGCATAATAAAGCTGCCTACATTCTGCACCTCACCTATGATAACTTAAAATGGCTAAAAATACTATACTGCCCTAGTATCAATGAGCGAGTCACAAGGAAATGGAGACATAGTGGAAATATCAGGGAAATCTCCATTGAGACAAGATGGCTGTTCCTCAGCCAGGGTCTGTGAGAGGAAAAGACTGACTTTAGCAATATTACCCCCATTAGAACAAATGGGACATAGATTAGAGGCGCCACACTTTCAGTACTATTTTCCTGCAGTGTTTTAGCGGAGGTTTACTTGAGGACTTATTTAATGGTCTATTTGGCACATTGCTTTATTGCTTCTATTCATCATGGGGTTTGTTTTTCCAAACATTGCATAAATCAATTTGGTAAGGATCTCTTTTGTGGTGCAGACATGGTGGCCAACTACATTATCACGCAAAACATCCATTCTGTGTGCCGTCTAATTGCCAAAGGCAAAGTTAAAGTCTGTCAAAGATGTGGTTCACAGGCTTTCCCGTTGGCTTTCTGTATCAACAAACTCCACATTCCCATTACTGATGAGATTTGGGCTTGAGCTCCAGTGAGTTGGTTATGAAACCACTCTAAAGAGACACTAAAACAACACAACGCCATTCATGTGCCAAGTCAGCACATACCACACGCTCACAACAGTCTAGTATGCATGATGCAACTGAAGAAATGTGTGAGTTTTTAATGAGAGAGGGTGGAAAAAAGGTCTTCCTCAAAGCGTTCCCAAGTTTCAGTAAGAAAAAGGAGCAGAAAAAGGGTGCCTGGAGATATGGTAACAAATTAATTCGTGTTTTTCTTTTTTCTGTGTCAGAGAGAAAGGCAATATATGATTCTTTTTGAAATGCCCATCTCACTTTCCTCATTCTCTTAGTGCTAATAAAGTAGTCATGCAGTCAATTTCTCCAAATCAGCCAAGCAATACAGACATTTCTGTTGCTGTGGATTTATCATTCGTACAGATCCAGAGCTTCTTTGGAATAGTGGCTGTCTGATCTTAGCCTGTCTGCATTTCAGCAGGTGTGTTAGATGTCATTTGACATTTCAGAACAAAAAGCTGTAAAGGAAAGCTCCTTATTGATGGTAATTAATATAGATCTCAATTGTCCTCTCGTTCACATTCGTTTTATTGTAGAGTTGGCCTGTCCAATATGCCGATATTGTTCGAGTGACACCACAGTGCTGAATCGAAGAGGTCTGTTTTATGGGTGACGTTCAAACACTAGCACTAGTTTTAAATTTCCCCTAGACACTGATAAAGCTGACTCTGCTCACAATAAAAGCGCCATACAAGCTGTCAGCTCCGGCAGGGAGAGCCGTGATTGGAGCGTGCTGTCCAAGCTGTAGTTTATGAGCACCGGGATGAGAATATTGATCAATACTTCTGCAAGACTTGCTTTGCACATGGCACTTTTTCTCCCATCAGTCAATCACGGGCTTTTTTCAAAATGCTTTCCTTCTCTCACTCTACTCTCCGCCTTATTTCTGCTCATATTGCACAAACACACACACAGGCTCAGTGCTATAGGTTTGATTCATACAATTCGATGATATACAGTGATTCTTTCTGATACTGGATTACCAGTATTGGATATTTAATACTGTACATATAATATAATATATCAATATACATGCACATTTCCCCTAATTTAGATTACATTTTAATGTTGTGATGCCTGAATTCACTTGTAGCATATTTTCATTTTTAATGTTTTGTTTTTAATTAATTTAGACAAAATAGTTTAATCAAATTTTAATACCTGCCTTTTATTCGTTAGCGGCCATAACATTATCAGTAGATAAAATAATTATCAATAATAATTAGCACTAAATCGATGATGTCATGTAAGACAGTTTGTAGTAGGATGAAACAATGGTGCTAATAGAAACAATGTTATTTTGGACATTCTAGGCATATTGTGAATAGTATAAAAAAAGAAAATTAACTAATACTGATTAATTATTTTAAGAATTGCAAACTTTTTTCTGTTACAAGTTTTTCTGAAATGTTATATTTAAATATGCAAATTATATATTATCTAATTAAATATACACTAATTTGCATACATTTTCAGAACAGAAATCTGAACGCTGGGTTAAGCCAGAAAAAATAGCTTGTCAACATCTAGAAAAAATGCTTTTTCACAATTTTTTGGGAATAAAATGCTGTATAAAATCAGGCAAATTATATATAAATGAACCCCTCTGTAAAAACCTTCAGAATATGGATAGAAATAAAACTGTAAAGTTTTCGTGTATCTACAGTAAGTGCTACTGAAGTAAGAAGTAGCACTGCAGAAGAAAAAAATTATTTTGAGAAAAAGGCCTTTAAATATATACATTGTAAATTAAATGGATAAAGTGCGATTAAAAACAACACTTAAAAGTGTATTTTTAATATTTTCTTTCCACTAGTTTGAAACAGCACTTTATGAAAAGCCAGATAGCCCAAATTCTCAATATTGACCAATGAATGAAAAAAACCTGTTGTGCCTGAAGAGTCTCGCCTTAAGTTTGCCTCTTTTGGGTCATTGTGTTTCATAATGTTTCAATCTAGGCAGAGGCGGAGAGTAACTAAGTACATTTACTTGAGTATTGTACTTAAGTACACTTTTTGAGTATCTGTACTTTACTTGAGAGTATTATTTTTTTCTGGGAACTTATGACTCTAGGCAAGACTTTTTCCAATTTTTCCATAGATACCATGTTGGCATGTCATTCATTTGACAGCACTAAATCTGGAAGGAGCAGGTGGTCAGGGAAGAGTTTGGGTTCGGCCCAGCTTGGTCCTGACTGGAGTCTGAACTGATGTTCTTTCCAAGTCAGTATGTTGTGGCTAAAGCGCCCAAGCTAATTAACATGACAGTCTCATATGCAGGAAGACCATGTGGCAAGACTCCCAGATTATCTTCATCCATTCCAATCTTTACTGTATGAGTGAAGAAATGTCTGTTGCTATATTGCTGTTCATATGAAGAAAAATGAAGACGTAATTTGAACATTACAAACTATATTAGCATTTTCAGTGCTGATTTTATGGCAAAATCTGCAGAATTCTGTGGCATATTGTTATATTGACCTTAAACCAAACTCAAACTCGAGTCACCTGAAGGCAGTGAGTTAAATGAATCTGAGAGTACTCTTATAGGTAGAAAACATAAACAAATTAGCAAAAATATTTCCTAAATAAGCATAAAATGGTGGGCGATGTGTAGATGTGTAAGCATTGATTCTGAAATCTGCTAAACATTCTATGCAGTTCTGCACACAGACATTCTCATGGGACTGCTTCTCAGCATGAAAGGAACATGTTTACGTGAGCTGTGTATATCTACTATCTAATGCATGTTTCACAGCATGCTGTGCTACAGTATGCCCTAATATTACTAATTTTTAGACAACTTCAAACTGTCTCAGTTCAGACTTGATGTACTGTATCATACTGATTTAGTGACCATTTCACTGTGCTTTTAAAAGGTTTCAGACCCTGTTCATTTGGTCCCGCTATTGCTATGGTAACAGTTAATGTGTTCCAAAAGTGTCTCCTCTCTCCGTTATGCTGGCCTCATCAACACAAGAGAGGTGTTAAGGCCTAATTGGTTTGGCACCTCAAGTGGGGCTGATTTCAAAGGCAGAAAAACCTTTTCCCTCATTAATAGGATCTGTCATTGCATAAAAGAAAGGAAGGAAGGGTGGAAATCATGTTAATCACTCTCCATTTGTGTTATTTTTTTGAAAAACAATATCCTTACAGTATGTACTCATTGTTCACAATAGCGATACCATGGTACAGTCATGTTATCAGATGGTAATACTATGGTACAATTCCAGAAAACCGTGGTAATACTTTCAGGACTTTTTTATGTGTCATCTGTCCTAACGAACACCTTTTGATGTGTAAAAACTCAAAGTAGTTTGCAAAGAAGTGTAAACGTCCATTATAATCTTTGTAATAACTTGAGCTCTCACTCTGAGATGAGGTTTCAGGTGCCTGGAAGAGTAAAACATCGTTGAAACTATCTGCAAATTATGCATTGTGCCTCTCTGTCTCTGTCAGGAGCTGTGGAGGGGAGAAAAGAAGGACTTGAGGCACAGATCAGTCGACTGGCTGAGCTAATTGGACGTCTGGAGAATAAGGTAAGAGGTTCGTCTTATAATACTGAGAGGTCAAGTGCTTCCTCCTGGGAAGAGTCTTATAATAGCAAGAGGTCAAAATCCACAGACCCGTGCAGATGCAATCTAGTGTATTAAGACACTGAAAATAAAAACTTGGTTGATAACAAATGGAAAGATATAGCTTAGTTTCTGGTTTTACGGCAACTGATAACATAATAATAGATAGATTTCAAGGGTGTTTTGTATGAGCAGGTATTTCATATTTATTTGTTTCAAATAAAAATGAAATATCATAGAAGTAACACTGTACAAACGTGTATATGTTTTAGATGTGCAGGTGTTGACTGTGAGGGCTGTTATGATGTTATACTGGTCTGTAAATTGGCCTTGCTTGTTACTGCATTATTATAGTTATTATTTTTGAAAAATGCATAAACCTGATGAGACTTTGATATGACTTGATTTGATTAAATAGTATGTCATTATAAACAAATATTATAGTAGTGGTTGTTTGATGACAGACTCAACTATATACTACCATTCAAAAGTTTAGAGTAAGTTAATAAATGCTGTTCTTTTGAACTTTCTATTCATCAAGAAATCCTTAAAAATTCTATCATGGTTATCACAAAAATATTAAGCAGCAGAAGTGTGGACACCAATAGTCATGTGACACTGAAGACTTGAATAATGGATGCTGAAAATTCTGCTTTGCCATCACAGGAATAAATTATGTTTATAATTATAATATATATAAATATAAAACAATTATTTTAAATTGAAATAATGTTTCCCAATATTACTATTATTTACTGTATTTTTTATCAAATAAATGCTACTTTGGTGAGTCTTCTTTTGAAAACATAAAAAAAAAAAACTTACCAACCACAAATTTTGGAACAGTAGTATAAGGGTGACCTGTAAATATCAAATAGAGTTGGGACATCAATTTTTATTAGTCTAAAAACTTGGTTTCCTCATTTCAGAAATCCATAAGATGATTAGGAAGTAAAGGCCATGACACACCAAAACGACAACAAAGAAAGCTAAATGTGTTGTTGTCTCACATCGCGTAAACACATTGCGATGACTACAGCCAATGGCCAACTAACACCTATGTTCTGTGGCTGTGTGAGAGGAAATAACTGTTTGTATCTGTAAAATTAGAACAGCATTCATTTGATTGATCAGATTGATCTGTCCGCTTGTTGACCATCAGCTTGGTGTGTCACGGCCTTAAGACTTTGTTGTGGAAAGAGCTTTTCTGTTCCTCTTCCTATACCTAAAATACAGCTCTGTCATTTCTTTTACTGCTACACATATAGTACATCCACATATGCACACACATGCACACACTGATAATTACACACATTCATGTAAAGCCCTGAGAGGAGATTCAAATTGCATTTAGCAAAGCCTGTAATCTTTTCTTCCTATAGTTATTACTTTCACTGATCAGGAGAGCAGTGAAGGAGGGCAGGAATGATACGGTGAAACAAAGAAAGAAATTAAACAGACCTGTCAACCACAGTACTGCACTAGTAGATGACTGTTTTTACCATTATATTCTCTACACTCAACTTTTATGTAACTTTTCTTTCTTGGTTAACCATTATTTCAACATCTCTCTCTTCCTCTTGGTCATTTTATTATGTGTGTCTGATAGACATTTGAGCACAGTGGACTAATAGAGTCCCCAGTTAAAACTGGAGTTTTTGGCAGACTGGTTCTTATAGCTGGAGCTAAGAATAGCCAAACCAACCCAACTGGTTTATTCCTCTCTCAGTGGAAGGGAGGTTCGGACACATCCTGGTGAGATGGGATGAAAGAGAGCATGTCTGGGTTGAGCAGCAGAGGCTTATGTGGCACTGGATGATTTTTTGGTTTCGGTCCAGAGACAGATTAACAAGGATACATGCATATACAATCAATTCTGTAATGCATGAAGAGAAACATTTTGAAGAGCTTCATTTTAAATTAATTAGCTTAAAAATTATAATTTTGTGAAATGCACTACTGTTCAAAAGTTGTGGTCAGTAAGATTTTTTTTTAAATTGTTTATTCGACAAGGAGGCTATAAATGGATCAGAAGTGATCAATGAAATTATTAAGCAGCACAACTGTTTTCAACATGAATAATAATAAGAAATGTTTCTTGATCAGTAAATCAGCATACTAGAATGATTTCTGAAGGATCAAGTGACACAGAGTAATGACATCACATTTGACATCAGTAATTTGCCATCACAGGAATAATTAAAAATATATTAAAATAGAAAACCGTTATTTTACATTGTAATAATATATCACATTGTTACAGTTTTTACTGTATTTTTGGTGAAATAAATGCAGCCTTGGTGAGCATAAGAGATTTCTTTTAAAAACATTTAAAAAAATCATATCAACCCCAAACTTCTGAACAATAGTGTATATAATAGTTACTGCATAGTTACTGTTTAACAATTCAAAATGTTTTTGATCTTTTACTGACTTGGTTCTCTTTCATATTTATTATTAATTATAATTCTTTATTTATTATTAATTTATTATTCTCTTTCAATAGTAATATTAACTCATTCTGAGTTTGAATTTTGTTTGAATAGAAATAATGGAGTGTGTTTTGATCGTTGACTTGCCTTCAAAGTTCTCAAATCAGTGACAATTTTTTCCAGTTGCCTTGTCGAACTCTCTGTTCTTCTGCTCAGTCCACTGTGAGATCTGCTATTGTTGATCAATACAACCAGACCTGCAGCACAGCTGGGTCTGTGCAGGACTTAAAGGCACAATATGTATTTTTTTATTAAAATATCCAAAAACCACTAGAACAGTGTTATATATTTTGCTGACTTGTGTTCTTACACTATCCCAAATGTTTAGAAGAATGTTTAAATCCAGAGAAATAAGCAATTTAAGCAAAACTAGTGACACGGACCGTTTCCATAGTGTCATTGTGTCGCCTGCTAATGACGTCATACACCCTCGATTTCCGGTTTTGTTTTGTAGAAAATATGGAAACACCAAAGACGCTTTAATATGTTGTGCGTTTTAATAGACCGGTGACGACCGCACAGAGTAGCAATATAACAGAACTTTCAAATGTATCTAGTATGATAAAACAGCACTGCTTTTTTTTCCCCTACATACGCACGACCGGAAGGAGCGGAAGCGGTCGACTGTGGCATAATAAAAGCTCCGCTGCTTTCGAGCCGTGTGTCACGCTCGTTCAGCAGCCTCGTTTCGCTTCGACGGCTTTCAGCCTCACCCTGCTTCATTATACTATGTTAATAAATCATTAGCTCATCCATGAACATGATTTCTGCCTGAGTCCCGTCGGATTGCATCGGCTGTGGGGATGAAGACGACAACTCCCATGCATCATCAAACTACGCCTTTGCCTCTTTGTTTATTTTGAATTTTTGAATTTTGAAAATTACATATTGTGCCTTTAACCCATGCTTTTCTAAACATCCATACTCAGTGCGTTCAGTTTAATTGAAATGTCAAACATAGCACTGTACGTCTGTCCTGTCCTGTTCCCCATTCTCACTGTCCCTTTAGCAGACAGGGCAGCCTGACTTTGGTGACCCGCTTTGGCTCACAGCTGGATCAGTCATCAGAACGCTCTTGTTGTCTGCATAATGCGCCCCCACAGCTTTAGGAAACGCATAATTTCCTTTTCCATCCGGTTGTGGCACCCTGATAGCCTCCAATCACTGTGGAGACTAACGCTCAAGCCGTTCCTGCAGTATTCATACTCGACAGTGTGGCGGTTGTCATTCTTGCTATTATTTTTGATGGATAACCCGCCATCACTTTTCACAGTGAGAGAGACAGCTGCACGAATTTGTGGCATCATTACCGGCCATTATGTACTCTGTCATTCCATGATGGGAAAGAATATTCCACACTATCCCTGTTCACTTATGGATGGACTGACAGGAGATACCAGCGCCTCTCTTTTTATGAGGCATATAATGATTCATACATTGTGATGGTGTTAACTTTTCAGAGTCAGGGATGCTGTAAATTCCTCATGAATTCATAAAGTATTGGAATATAGTGAGAATATTTGAAATATATACTGTTCTTGTTCTCAGCATTTTGTATTATCTGCATACATCATTGCATCCCAGTGACAGTGCTTGTAGCCTCTACATGAAGGAAGGGAAATAATACTTGCAGGCTTTCTTTCACTGCTCAGATTCTTCATACTTCCATGAACATGATTTCTGCCTGAGTCCCGTCGGATTGCATCGGCTGTGGGGATGAAGACGACAACTCCCATGCATCATCAAACTACGCCTTTGCCTCTTTGTTTATTTTGAATTTTGAAAATTACATATTGTGCCTTTAACACATGCTTTTCTAAACATCCATACTCAGTGCGTTCAGTTTAATTGAAATGTCAAACATAGCACTGTACGTCTTGAATTTTGAAAATTACATATTGTGCCTTTAACCCATGCTTTTCTAAACATCCATACTCAGTGCGTTCAGTTTAATTGAAATGTCAAACATAGCACTGTACGTCTGTCCTGTCCTGTTCCCCATTCTCACTGTCCCTTTAGCAGACAGGGCAGCCTGACTTTGGTGACCCGCTTTGGCTCACAGCTGGATCAGTCATCAGAACGCTCTTGTTGTCTGCATAATGCGCCCCCACAGCTTTAGGAAACGCATAATTTCCTTTTCCATCCGGTTGTGGCACCCTGATAGCCTCCAATCACTGTGGAGACTAACGCTCAAGCCGTTCCTGCAGTATTCATACTCGACAGTGTGGCGGTTGTCATTCTTGCTATTATTTTTGATGGATAACCCGCCATCACTTTTCACAGTGAGAGAGACAGCTGCACGAATTTGTGGCATCATTACCGGCCATTATGTACTCTGTCATTCCATGATGGGAAAGAATATTCCACACTATCCCTGTTCACTTATGGATGGACTGACAGGAGATACCAGCGCCTCTCTTTTTATGAGGCATATAATGATTCATACATTGTGATGGTGTTAACTTTTCAGAGTCAGGGATGCTGTAAATTCCTCATGAATTCATAAAGTATTGGAATATAGTGAGAATATTTGAAATATATACTGTTCTTGTTCTCAGCATTTTGTATTATCTGCATACATCATTGCATCCCAGTGACAGTGCTTGTAGCCTCTACATGAAGGAAGGGAAATAATACTTGCAGGCTTTCTTTCACTGCTCAGATTCTTCATACTTGAAAACATGTCCTGCAACTTTACCCTTCATTATATGTTAAAAGATCAACATTTCTAGTTTGAAATGAATCAGAGTTGAGAATAAACTAGTATGTCCTTAACCATTCCAAATGTACCATTTCATGTGAAATTCTCTGTATTTAATCAAAAATCATGACATTTTTATCACTTTCTACTTATATAAACACCTGCAACATACTCTGTGTTTCATCTAGAAACTTATTCAAAATAGAAATATACATGTTTTTTTTAAAGAAAATTATGTACCTCTTAATATACCTCTTTTTTAAGTTTCACAGCTGTGTCGCTGTGAACAATGTCAGATATTTATGAAAACATTTGAAAAATCAGGCAAAATCAAAGTCATTTGCCATCCTGAAGGTTTCCATATTTCATCTGCTATGAGTTCCAGCACATCACACAGGCCCTGATGAGTTCTGTATTTGTTTTTTGTACTTTATAAGTAATTAATTATGCTTAATTTTATGTGATTTGTCAACTCAATCACACAAATTGTGAAGAAATTTGAGATTTTATGTCCTATTAATAGCTAGAAACACCTGAATACCTAAATGGCTTCTGTATGATTTTCTGATTGTGGTGACGAACATTCTTTAATTCATTGACGTGAATACAAAATTTGAATACAAATATAATAAATATTTGATATTATTTTAACTCTTTCGTTACTGACCCACATTGAATGATGGGCAATTACACACAATTATGAAAACATGAACTTCTTAAACATATTAATTCAAAATGACTACTTGATACATAAACTGTTTTTATTAAAATTGTTTTAGTTTCTTCCTTCTTTTCTTTCTTTTTTTTATTGTGAAGTCAGACAGATGTATTTAAGCGATTCATCTTTCATGAGCTCACCTGACTGAGTGTTTCGCAGACAGACAGCAGCAGTGAAGGGCTGCTGAGGTCAAGGTCAAGGTCAAGTTTATTTATATAGCCCTTTAAAACAACATAAATGCTGACCAAAGTGCTGCACAACATACGAGACAAAAACATCTTCATACAATACAATTGAAATACTAATAAAATAAATCAAAAGAAAACAGAACAAAAATGTATAAAGTTAAAACAAAACAAAACATTACCATGCAAAATAAAACAAAATTAAAGCTAGAATATTATCAAATTAAGCATATGCCTGAGAAAAAAAAAAAAATCTTTTAAGAGAAGATTTAAATGTGGATAGAGTAGGGGATAGGCTAATAGACAATGGTAGGGAATTCCAGAGCTTTGGACAAAGAACTGAGAAAGCCCTGTCACCTTTGGATTTAAATCGAGATTTTGGAACATTTAATAACATCTGGGTGGAAGATCTAAGTGTTCTCTCAGGAGAGTAGGAATGGAGAAGATCTGAGGGGGTCAGTGAATTCACTAGTAGCTTTTCTGTTCTGGTTTTTGTTGCAGACAGTTTGGTTTGACCTACATCAGCGACTAACAGACACTGATGGCACAACTAGCGCAGTAAGTACTAAAGCACGACTTCTATACCAAAGAGCATGAAAAAATGCATGACCAATTTCACCTTTTCCCTTCATGTTAAAACACAAAAACAGCGTTGTTACTTAAAAGCAGTGAATAAACCCCCGTCAAATCAAGATTGACTCCTCGTGGGTCTCTTCAGAGCTCCTCATGCTGTTCCACACACCTGCAACAAATCTGCCACCTGTTCCTCAGGATTCAGCCACATTTCTTTCTCAATATGAAAGCACCAGTTCCGTGTTTAATACCAGCATGCTCCGGGAGTCATTTGTGCCTCTAAAAGATAAGAGGCGGTGTCACACTACACCTCGCCAGGCCACAAATCAGTCCCGCTCTGTGGACCATTGATGCACACAGCAGCACATGATGGGAATGCACAGAAATATCATACGGTTTTGTTCAGTTAAAGTATGGGAGTGCTGGGATTTAATCTCTTGTAGACCTTTGTGATTTAAAAGATCTAATAAAGAAAAGATTGCTTTGTTTAAAAATAGGAAAAAGTGCAACCGAGTTCAGTGTGTAACAGAGATCTTAGCTCAAATTGACTCCCATCTTATTGACATTGGAGGGATCAGGGGTAATTGAATCATTCCTTTTTATCCATTAATTCTTGTCAATGGGGTTCCACCTGACAGCTTCAGTGTGTGCCTCTGTGTTTGTTAGTTAACACAAGCTTTATTTTGGGACCCGTAAGATATTTCTTGAATTTATCACACCTACAATAATATTAGGGTGTCCTGCAGTGTTATCTGCAGTGAATATTACACACAGACCAGAAATTAGCCATTTTAAAACAATGACTGTACCATTTCTGTGTTATTTCTTTGTTTACAAGTGATCATTGCTCCATTTGTTTATAGTAAATTGCATGCATTTTGACATTTGGATGACAAGAAAGCATTTTAACGAAATGAACCTAATTTTAATAACAAGGAACATTTTGGTATGAACAGTAATGCCGAGTATTTAAAAGAAAAGGGAGCGGGTACAGGTAACTGTAGATTTTTATTACAGCAATAGTGTATTTCTTCACACCCTCATATATTTGAATATGTATGAATGTATATATTAGCATATGATTATTGCTACTTAGGTTTTTGTTTTTTCTCCTGTAAATATTTACAGGTATGTAAATCTTTACAGTGAGCATACAGGTTGTACATTTCACACGTATATAAACAAAATGTTTGGGCATCACATCGGCAATGTGTTGCCACCTCCAAATATAAGAAAACAATGGCTTTTTGAAGTTTATAACAGAGTGGAAATGCTCAAAGAAGGGAGGGGTCTTATCTTCTCTTCAAGCCATTTTTACAGAGAGAGGACTAAATACTGATCAGTCCAACAGCTCAATGCATCTGTTAGCTCAGCAGTTTATACTTTAAAGGCTGTATTCACTGACTTAAACTCTTACACCACCTGCAGTGCTTGTTTTGATTGGCCAGGAGGAATATAAATCAGCTGTCTGCTGATAAAACCACCGAAGATAGGCAGAAAGAGAAAAGGAGAGCTATCTGAAGCAGTTATACAACTACGTATCTGAAAGCCATCTTTACTCGTTAAGAGGGAATTATCATAGGATGGATGCAGAATGGGAGAATGAGAATGCTCCTATTTATGCCTCTCAGACTTTAATAAAGCAGCTCATTTAAAGAGATGCTAAAGTTCAGAAGGGGAGAAATTAAAATGCGATTTACTCTGTGATACCAGTGAAAGGAAAAATGGGGGTAGAAAGATGTCAATCATAAAAGAAATGGGACGGTATTCCCCAGTTTCCATGGTAACGGTGAAATTTCTCAAATCCTCTGAGGTTTCTACCATTTTTTATGGACTCGTACTGTACCTGAGACATTCTACTCACTTACATGGTAGGAAATTGTGCACATAAAATACTCCCTCCTCTCTTAGTGTGTGTGTGTGTGTGTGTGTGTGTGTGTGTGTGTGTGTGTGTGTGTGTGTGTGTGGTGTGTGTCTGTATACATCTATGTGTGTGTGTGTACGTCTATATATATGTGTGTGTGTGTGTGTCTATACGTCTATATATATGTGTGTGTGTGTGTGTGTCT